TTACCCTCACCCAAAGCACTCTCAACACTGTTGTATTTTCTTAAGCTCACTTTGCTTGGATTGCTCTTAATTGTTTTGTCGAATGGCAAAATGGTTTTTATAACCAAAAACCACCCACCCACAATGAATGCAATGGGTTCCAAAGTCATAATCCAACTATGTACAATAAATGTTTCATGGACGAAGTTGCAACAAGTAAAAAACTCCCATTTTTTCAACAACTTTGATTGGTTGCCATAAGATTTCCCATGCAACCAAATTTCGAAGGTTGAAATATGCATGCTTTTTCAACCAATAATGCAAGGCTTACTTGCAACAACAATCTCCACCTTGGCAAGCATTTGAAAAATAAGATTAAGGACCAATAGCTTCATTCCTAAAAGGCATCAAGCACTTCGAACACTAATCAAGTCCAAGCAATGCTTGAACTTGATCTCACTTATCGATTTTGTCATAATATTCACAAGATTCTCATCAGTTGATATCTTTTCAACGTGCACATCTCTATTGGATACCTTTCAGACAAAGTGATACCAAACTTGAATAAGTTTGGTTCTCTCATGGTCTATGGCATTCTTTGTCAAGTGAATGGCACTCTAACTATCACAAAACACAATCATCTTATTTTGTTCAACCTTGAGATCACTAACCAAACCCTTCAACCAAAATGCTTCCTTTACCACCTCAGTAATTGCCATGTACTCCACCTTAATTATTAGCAAGGTGATTATAAATTGTAATGTAGCTCTCCAACTGATGGCACACCTTAAGAAAGTCAAGACATATCCTATAGTTGATCTTCTTTTGTCCAAATCACTGGCAAAATTAGAGTCAACAAAGCTGATTACATTTCCACTTGGATCAACACTCCAATCAAAGACTAGTTTAACATCTATCGTGCATTGTAAATACCAAAAGATCTACTTCATAGCCTCTTAATGTCTTTTACCCGAATTAGCCATATATTGACTACCACACTGATTGCTTGTGAAGTATCAGTATGAGTACATACCATAACACACAGTAGGCTCTAAACATACTCGCATAAAGGACATACACTATGTACTTCTTCTCCTCCTCTACTTTTCGTGAAAAATTTGATTAAAGCTTAAAATGTGCTTCCAAAAGAATTGTCACAACCTTAGCCTCATGTAAGCCAAACCGTTCAAGTACTTTTTGAATGTACTTCTTCTAAGAGAGAAATAATTGACCTCCTTTATAGTCCTTGTAAATCTCCATTCCTAAGATCTTCTTAGCTACACCCAAGTCTTTCATCTTAAAACTCACCACTAAACTACTTCTTCAAATCATCAATGATTAACATGCTTTTAGTAGCAATAAGCATGTGATCAATGTACAATAGCAGATAAACCCAAGAATTATCTCCAAGCCTTTTATGATAGACACAACTATTATAGTTGCTTCAAGTGAATCCACTTTTAACCATGAAAATGTCAAATCATTTATACCATTGTCGAGGTGACTGCTTCAATCGATATAAGGATTTCTAGACCAAACAAACATGATCTTCTTTTCCTAAAACTGTGAACCTTTTTGGTTGAGACATATATATATATATATATCCATTCCTCTAACTCATTGTCACGCCCCAAAACCAAGAGCGAAACAG